CAGTGCTGTCATTCACAAAATAGACAAAATATTCCAGCTATGATAACATGCACGCTTTTCTCCAAGTCTCCTCATACCACCTCAATCTGTTAATAAATCTTTGACTTTAACATGCATACTCCCTTTTGGTAAACTAATTCTCCATGAGGTCTTGCTCTTTCTTTTCAAAGTGTGGGACAGTGGGAAACACAAATTTCAAGTCTTAGAGCCTCTTTCTAAAGACAGGTACCATAAAATTCCATCTGCCAACAGGTTCTCATTTAAAATGACCCATTGTTAGTTCTGCTGTGTCTAGTAATTGTTTTCTGGCTGATGGACAAATAACTTTATAGGTAAAAATATCTCTTCTGAGAAACAAAGAAGCCTGTCAGGTCCTGTACATTCCTCTTAAGGAAACATATTTGCCAAGATGACATCACTGTGAAAATAATTTTCACAGAGAATTGTATTGCTCATGGTGAACAAGAGCACATACTGAGGCCAAACATTTTGTTTGCTTAGAGAAAAATTCCTCTGTGAAACTAAAGGCTGAAGAGTCCCAGCTCTCAAAATTATGTTCTCAAGGCAAATTCATTCAGAAGATTTTAATCTAAACTATATGAAGGACAAACACGTCCTTCATCAAGACTATTCATATGGCAGATCTTAGCACCAGTTAGGGTGGAGGGATTAGTTTCTTGAAGAGGAAAATACTTTTTTTCCCCATCACAAATTGGTTGTACAGACTTCTCAGAGGTTTAGAATATTACATCAGGGGAAAAAGCAACATGAATTACACATTATCTGCTCAAAAACTCAGACTGATATAACAAGAGGTACATATTTACAGATTATCAAGAAAGTTAATTGATCAGTACATGGGACAATTCATAAGGAAATGCTGCCTACTGATGTCTCTTGTACAGCATTGCACGTAGCTCTTATCCTCAACCTGGATTGAGGAGGGCATTAACACAGCAGAACACACAGGCTTTTTATACCTCACCTTCTAGCCTCAATTCAGGGGCACAAAGATTTCAGTTCTCGAAGTGTACATTATCTACAAAAGATCCTATTTCTTATCATGGTCAAAGGAACACAGGCATTGAACAAAATCATACTTTATGAACTACCAAAAGACCATTCCCACAGTAACAAAAATTACCAAAAAACCCACAGCTCTCTTCTTCATAGTCAGACTGTTGTGAGTTTAGCCAGGCAGACCTTTAAATACAAGAGGCAGTTTACAGACACTAGGAGACATACCTGGATCCAAAATCCTAATAGCATTCCATTTCATTGCTGTAGTTCTCATAGGAATAGAAGATTAAATATGCGTAATATTTTCTGGAAGCAAAGAGATTATTCTATTTTCAAATAGCGTATACTATAACTTGCTACTGGTATTTCACTTGGGGAAAATCTGCCACTTGCAGTTCACAGGAAAACAGACATAGCACAATGAAAGAAGAAAATATCATACTATAACACATCATCCTCATATTTGGAAGGAATCCAAATGGAAAAGTTTCAGATTGATAAAGCTGGCACAAGTTATATGAGGTGTCTCTGCCTCATCTACTGGATTCCTGGTCTCATGAAAACAAAACCTGGCTTGAACTACAGAGAATGAAACAAATAAATAAATTTCCTGAAATACTAAAAAAATCCAGTACTGGCTATGGAAGTATAAGAGGTGATAAACAGTATGAATCTGTGTCTGCATAAGCTTAACAACTGACCTTAAAAAAAAAAAGTATGATCAGACTTGTTTTTAAACATAATAGAGGCATAACAGAACTTCAACAGTATTGTTTGAAATGCCATAGTGGCAGAATAGAATATTATGTCCTTAATATATTAAGGACACGGAACTGTTGGAACAAGTCCAGAGAAGGGCCACAAGGATGATCAGGGGGCTGGAGCTGAGAAAGGCTGAGAAAGTTGGGGTTGTTCATCCTGGAGAAGAGAAGGCTGCATGGAGACCTCATAGCAGCCTTCCAGTATCTGAAGGGGGCCTATAGGGATGCTGGGGATGGACTCTTCATTAGGGACTGCAGTGATAGGACAAGGGGTAATGGGTTAAATCTTAAACAGGGGAAGTTTAGATTGGATATAAGGAGGAAATTCTTTCCTGTTAGGGTGGTGAGGCACTGGAATGGGTTGCCCAGGGATGTTGTGAATGCTCCATCCCTGGCAGTGTTCAAGACCAGGTTGGACAAGGCCTTGGGTGACGTGGTTTAGGGTGAGGTGTCCCTGCCCATGGCAGGGGGGTTGGAACTTGATGATCTTAAGGTCCTTTCTAACCCTAACTATTCTATGATTCTATGAATACTATGGGGTCTGTGCTTCTTATTGCGATAGTTAAAACATTACCTGCATGTCTGTGCAAAGTGACACAGTGTATCATTTCAGTTCCAACACTCCTTCTAGAAAATTGGAAATTTACTTATGATTTCTAATGAAAGAACATTTTCCCCCTAATATAATGAAATGTTCTCTGTTTTGGATAAATGAAAATACATTCATTTGGAAAATTCATTCTAATGTTTTCAAGCTAGTGGTTTGTTTTATTCTACAATGAATTTATTCATTGGACTGTTACTCTGGCTCCAGAACTGATTCCTATCCTGCTGAATTAAGGTCAAAATCAGTATTCCTACAGAGCAAGGGAAGATTACATCCTGCTGGAAAAAAATAAAGATGTACTGTTTGTTTGTTTTTTTAAGAAAAAAGAAAAAAAAAGCACCAATGGAAACACAATGCAATTCACAAGGTATATCAGTAATTCTATGACTACATTAGCAAATAAATGTTAGTTTGCAAAACAGAAAAACACATGTTAAAACTATGAATTGACAGATGACATTTTAGATTCTACACATTCCTTCCATGAACTACTTGAATAGCAGTTGTATGTTAACAGTTATCACACACACACGCGCGCATGCACAACATATATGTTCAGCTCTGGTCATATGGGAAGGAACCTCCAAATAAGCATTATGAGTGTCTTAAAGGTTTTTTCTTCTTAAAAGACAGAGCCAATCCCATGTTTGCCTTAGTACTAATACTGTATATTTCCACATTGTATGTTGAATGTAATAATAAATCTACTGTTAGAAGATAATATATATAAACTTCACAGACCTACAGTCTGTGCCAGGCTCTCCGACAAATTCATACTTAACATATTGCCTCCTTCCCCATAGGGTTCTATTTGCCAAAGCTGGCATTTTAAAAGTGAGAAAGGCAGATAAGAGGTATGTGTCAATTTACACCAGTAGAATGGCAAATTTCAAAGGTCTGAGCCCTGTGCCACTCACCTCAGGGAAGTTTTGCTGCTAATCTCATAAAAAACAAGATTGTGCATGGCTGTTACCTGAACGACACCCTTCTGCCAATATACGGGGTCAGGTTTCACACTCACAGGCTGCAGAACTTGCCCATTGCTTAATGCTGTATTGTGGGTTTTTGTTGTTTTTTGGTTAGTTGGTTTGGGGTTTTTGGTGGTGGTTGTTTGGGTTTTTTTACTTAAACATGTTAATGAAGTATGAAAGCTTATATTACTACTGTCAAAGCTCTGGGAAAAAAAAAAAAAAATCCATTGCGAAAAACTGTCCTATATTTTACAAAGAAGCTATCAGAAAGTAACTAAGAGATCTTGGTGAGATAGATGCACCAATAACAGCCTTATGATGTTTCAGTCAAGGAAACCAGTTAAAGGTAATGCGTATCAAAGGCGATTTCTGCATCATGGTCTCCTGAAAATCAAGAAAAAGTCTCTAACACAGTACATTCAACCTGTAAGGGCCCAATGAATCATTGACTCACTTCTCATTGTAGCCCGTGTTCAAGAACATTCCACAGTTTTGGGGTTAATGGAAAGTTATTAACAAATCAAAAGCTTTTACAGCTCCAACATAATTTGACACAACAGTTATGGATGCTATATTCTATGCCTCAGAGGCATGCAATTTTATACAAGATATATTCAACCAATATCAAAAACCAATAGAAATACTAGACATAGTTTCATAAATTGTAAGAGACTGAGATGTGACTTTAAAAGGGCATTTTCTTTAAACAAAACTATGGAAAACACATTCTAGCAAATAGCTGCTGCATTTACAATGTCTTAAAAAGTTATTTTTAAGTAGTGCTATAAAAACTGTTGTTACACAAGCAGCTGCTACACACAACTTGCAAGAAATGAGCACTTCTCAAAAGGAGCTTATTAAGAGACATCGCTGTTTGAGCATCTCTGAAACCTCCTTTACTGCCGTCAGACTACTCAGAGGGGACAGGGTGCTGGTAAAGAGGTCTTGCAAAATGAGGTGCTCCCTCAAACCAGGGATAATCTGAATCGATCACTGGTTTGGACTCTGACTTGCATTTTGTGTAAGTCTACAGGTGCAGTTAACACCTCCCCAAGAGAACGCAGACAGCAGGGTAAAGAAAGAGTTCATAGAGTACCGTGAACTGCCATTTCTCATCTGACTTAAACTAGTGCCGGGTCCGAATGTTTTCCGGGGGCTGTAAGCAGTGAAACCGCGTCTATGCGCGTGACCGCATGGCAGCCCCGCGCCCGCCCGGCGCGCCGCACGAGCTTAAGAGGAAACGGGCAATACACGGCACTGTGGTCGTGGGTGAGGTCCTGTACAAGGACTGCTCCCCCAGCAAAGCGGTACAGAGACACGCTACTTTCCCTCAGAAGCGGCGGGTGCAGCCTCTGCACGCTGCCCGCCAACGTCTCTGACAGCCCGGGGCCGCCAGAACCGCGTCCTGCCTGCACCCCCCACGCCTCTGCAATCCACCCCCCACACCTCACCCCACCCCCACCCCCCCGGCCTGGGAACAGCGCAGGGGACATGGCACTTCGAGGGGAGAGCAGAGCCACCCCAAGCAGCGAGGGGATGGTCCGCTACCTTTTCAGCGGCACTGGCAGTGAAACGTGTCCAACACCCCGCTCCCCTCCCTTCGGCGCATCACAGCCAGGGAGGGGAATTGGGAGTACCTACCAGGGATGGCCAGGTTGGTGAGTGAAATGCGGTGGATGCTGCTGGGCAGAGCTGCCATCCAGTCGGAAAACCTCACATCGTACTTGCCTTGTGACGAGGCCATGCCACCTCCGTACCCCCACCTCTCTCCCGCTGTTGCTGTCACCGCCGCCCGCTCCAAACCACCCGGACTCAGTCCCGGTGCCAGCATTAAATCCTGTTCAGCTCCGCCCCCCCCAGCACCGCCCCACGCCCACTCTCCACGCCTCCCCGAGCCCTCCCGCTGTCCTCCGCCGCTCGCTTGCGGTGCCGGGTCCCTTGAGACCCCCTCAAAGCTGCCGGTGCCGCCTCGTTTCCCCTCAGCGGCGGGTGTCGGCGGGGCCGACGGCGCCCGTGCTCGGGAGGGTGAAGCCGCCCCAGATAACACCGCGGGTTGCGGGAGGGAACAGGGTCCGGCCCAGGCCCTCGGCTTGCTCCGCATTAGCCCCGGGCCCGCGTACCCGCAGCATAGGCCTCTCTGAGTCTGCCCCACCGCCTAAATCCTGCTCCGGAGGAGGCTGCAGCTCCCGCCCGAGAGCTCTGCTGCGGCCACGGCGCTGTAGACGAGCTCTCCTGGGTTCGCGTTGCGGGGCCCTGGCTGAGTTTTGCTCCCCCATAGCCCTGAGGCCCCGCAGTGCCCTTCCTGCCCTTGGCGGTTGACTGAATGTGGAATGCTTCTGCGCTGGGACGTGGGCACACTTTCGCAGCCGATGCCTCCGGCCCCCTCCGAGACAAACCTCTCCTTTTCCAGTGGCGTTACTCACATTGAAATAACACTGTTCCTTACTTGAACACTTCATGGACATCCGTAAATTTCGGGGTGATTATTTTTCATTGTCTCCTGAGGATAATCCAGGTAGTACTGTTGCAGTTTTCAAAGGGTGATGACTCCCTTTTCACAAGGAGTCATCTGGAAAACAAAATAGGGGCGATAGACACAAATTAATCCTGAGGGCATTCCTGTTCGACACAAGGAAAATTTCTCACAATGAGAGCAATCAGCCATTGGAAAACTCTCCCCAGGGAAGTGGTTGACTTCCCAGCATTGGGTACTTCTAAGATTCAGCTGGACAGGGTGCTGGGACATATGGTCTAGGCCAGGAAAAGTTGGACCAGATGATCCTTAAGACCCCTTCCAACCTGGGATTCTATGATTCTAGTATCTTTCATTCTCATATTCCACCTACTCGTCTTTGGGGAAGCATTTTAAATGTTGACATTAACAAAGCATTTATGTTACTGCCTCCAGATCAATGAAGGAATGAACCTGATAAAGCCTTGTGAGCCATCTTGACTGCCTGTTTTTTTTTTTACTTCGGCATAACTGTTTGTTTTCTTGTCAGAGTTGCTGACATATGCGCAAGTTCACTTGGTAGATCTGACAAAAAAACAGCCTGGAGAGAGCCACACCTGAGCTGGGACCAGTTACCAGCTCATCTTGTATTTCCAGAAGGGTCAGCTATAGTCCCTTAGCTTCTATTCTCACTCAACATCATCTTTAACACCTGGGTTTAGGAATAAAAACACAGGGAACAACTAATAACAAGCCACTTTACTCTTTCTGTCCAAGTTTCCACAGCAAGTACAAACAAAAGCTTTTCCTTCAGCCACAAAATAAAGGAATTTTTTTTTTTTTTAAATGAATGAATGTTTCCAAGGTATTTGAATAAATGAAATTTTGCTGACTCGCTTTTTGCTATAGAAATAACTCTTAGGGTGGATTTTGAGTGGGGCAACATGAACAGATGGATGACCTCAGGGGGTTTACTGAATTGGAATCAAATAGTAAATTAAAAAGGAGGAGGATTAAGCTGACACTGGAGAAGTTTAATTTTTGCAGTGCTACTTCTTGGCTATTAGGGTGCTCATCTGTCCATTTCCAAAATCACTACTACTAGTGAACATGGGAAGAAAAAAAAAAAAAAGACTAGTCCATGCATTGTACGCAGAAACATAAAACGCACTAATAACCCAATGATGAAAGATGTTACTTTACATCACCTTCAAAGGACAGGTAGAAATTACAGCAAAAAATGTCAACATTTTAAAGAGCACTCAAGTAAGGAGCAAATAATGTTTTTATCGACATGATTGCCAACATCTGAGTGGCAAAATAATTAATGGATTGCACTGGTTACCTGGAAAACTGCTGTTGAACTTTTACCTGCTCCACTATTTGCTCTATCTTTTCTGAGATAAAACTGAAGTATACAGCTTTTTGACAGATTAAACATGTTGTTAATACTGTTGTTGACCTCCTCCAGTCTCTAAAGCTTTGGGTGCAGCTCAGAGCAAAATATATAGCTGCAAAATCCTGTCATTTTAGAATGTATTATTATGTATAATAACGCCTGAACACTCTGGTCATTCTAGGTCTCTCAGTAATGTTTTCCACTTTACTGGACAACTCAAACGTCCTTTTCTGCACTGGCTAGAAACTCTGCTACCACAACTGATTATTTTGGCCTTTGCTTTGGTGTTTGCTTCCACAACTGAGTTTGTTTGGTTTTGGTTTTTTTTTTTCCTTAATGCCTAAAGTAAGATTCTTCATAGCCTGGATTTTCAAACCATGGCTACTCTGCTTTGAAAAAACCAGTCTCCCCTACCATGTCTCACACTAATTCTGTTTGAACAGGTTTGCCTCTGTTTCTAATTCACTGTAATTGCTAAGATATCAGGCTTAAAAGCTGCCAGTGGGTCTCTGTGAACTTGGAATGTAGGCTTAAATAATTTGGAGGGAAGTGGGATAGGAGAGGAAGCTTTTATGGAACAGAAAATAGGAAGCATTTGTACAGCAACCTGAAGAAACATTGATGAGGAAGATTTGATGTAAAACAAAAAGGTAACTTCTTGGAGCTTTTAGGTGGTGTGAAGCTTCAGCATTTGTCTGTGTATCTGCTTGAGAAGAATTTAATAAAAAACTCTTCTTGTTTCTGGATTGAAGAGCAGATTAATGTGGTGTAGTTTGAACCTGCCATTTTACTAACTTTAACTGATTTATAAGCAATGGAAGCTTATAAATCAAAATCTAGGTATCTGTACAACCTTTTGTTCCTGTTTAAAAATAGTAAAAAAAATAACATTTTTGGCCAAATTACTGAAATCCCTACACGTAAGTCTGAGCTGTCAAAGAAAGTGAATTTCAGGAATCAAATACTTTAAAAGCTCAAGAGAGACCAGGTACGTCTAAAATGAAAGGCAGTGCCAAGATACTGAAAAAGACCATCTTTGCTTTGATTCACAGCTATGCTCAACTCACTGAAGAAACCATGAAGAGAAGGAAAATTGAAATCATACTCTCTGTTCATCATATATTGTATTCTTTCCAGTCTGCAGCTATAACAGCATGGATGAATAGTGACATCTCTGCTTCTGTGGAACAGAAAAACAGACTAATTTTGCCAGTAGGATTGTCTCTTCAGCACTGAGAGTGAATTTCATTGTTAAAAAAAAGGCTTTCCATAGTTTTTATTCTCTTAAAAATTAACATTTTAATGATAAATATTCACTGTTACACTTTGTCATTTTAACAGACACTTTGCCTTTTCATATGTCCTTGGCATCTATTTTAATCATGTGAATAACAAAAGAGTAACAAGATCTTTTTTTCTAAATTACATAAAGTACATTTTCCTCTCTGGTGAAAGAAAAAATAGCTTAATAGGGTATTGTCTCTCTCTGTAATTTTTCTATTATATCTGATTTATTTAGAAGGTACTCTAAATCTGTTAATGAATTCAAAATAAGGCTTTGAACAGAAGAATTACTATTGTTTAAATATTTGAAGTTTTTCAGTGCATTCTGCTTCTGATATTTGGTCTCATCCTCTTTCTTACTGCCCACTTCTATTAATAGCATTTTTTTCAGAACAAATCCTGGGTCCTCTCCCATGTTCACAGCTCTCACAGCTTTAAATGACTCTATCAGTCACATCTGGCCAGCAAAGCCCTTCCAGTTGCTTTCAGCTGAGTTTCCAATTATCTTCTTGTTACTTTAGAATGCAGTGGATCCACAGTATTCTCAACTTCATTACTCCTCACTGCTAACAGGTGTAAAAAGTAATTTTTACCTGTAAGACAAGCACATTAATCCCTAGAGGGTCAAAATAAGTAGATTGATGGAACAAAAAAAGATTTTTTTTTTAAATGATTGTATGGGTGAATGAAAGAGGTAACAAGTATATTTGTTGCCAGTTCATACTTCATCTTGCTACTTCGACAATCTCACCTTGCATTTATTAAGCAATCTCTATTGAGCAGTATTTTTCCTGTCAAAAGCAACTTATAAAATTAGTAGACAGAAACAAAGCCATGTAGAAACAAATTAAATCTCTTTTCTTCATTTTATGGGAAAGAATATGTCTGTTTCTGCTTTTCAAGCAACAGAAAATGTTGTTTATTCTGCTCTCAGATTTGTTACTCTGTGCTAAGAAAATCTGAGCATCCTTTACTGGTGCTGATACTGAAATGGAGAAGGAGCTGTATTTATTCTAGGCAGCTGACAAATGTCAGGGTATTAATGTTATCACTACTCTTTGTTGTTGTGAACTAAAGAGACTGTGAACATGATGGGTAATTCTTTTTTTTTTTCTTGTATACTTTATAACCAAAGCAGAGACATTACAGTAATATACAGAGGACTCAAGGGAGCATATGTGTCTTAATGCAAATAAAAATCAAGTCCAAAATGTATACAGTACATCTACTAGAACAAAATAAAATTATTAAAGTGTATGGCAAGACATTTTTAGTTAACCAAATTCTGGAAACTTGAAATAAGAGGTTAAAAGGTGAATGATAATATTTGTACCTAGTCCTTGAGAAGGAATCAATCTCACATTCTCTCTGAAGAGTGTTTTTCAGGTTTCTATAAGAAGGTTAGTATTGTTTTGTTTATAGAAGAAGGTTTGGTTTGTTTTCTGATTTTTTAAGTTTGTCATGCAAAGTTATGCTGTCTTACCTAAGATGATGGCTTAAAAACAAGTGGTTACCTTTTTACCTCATTAAAAATAGATAGGTTTGGTTATGTTGGCAGAGACTCTGAGGGCATTGCAGAGAACCGTGATGGCAGAACATGCAAACCCCTATATTCTAGGCAGTGCTATAAGGTCACAGCAAAGTATACAACTTTGGTACAGGGGAGAATGAGAGATTGCTTTTTATTTCTAAACAGACCTGACAA